GGATCTGGCTGTGTCATTTTTGAACATTTGAATTGTAAAAGTAGCACCAAGACATACTCTTATGGGGAAGAGGTTGTTCTGGTATGGTTCTCTTCCACCTGGTCTAACTCACTAGTTCTAACTCACTTCTTCGAATGGTTGCTCTTACGGCACAGGTAGAACAAAATACTGTGGCAGCAAGAATCCTTCTCCTAGGCAGTTTCCAGGATTAAAGCATTGCTCCTTTCTGTCAGCTGTCTGTTTGGTTAAAATGGGACTTCCCATCCCACTGATGTTCTACCTGCCTGCTGGAAGGGCAAACCCCCTTCAACAGGACTGTACCCCCAGAGGGGTTCAGGGCTCTGATCACACCGTGTGGAACTGGCAGGGCACTTGGACAGCGTGGCTCCTGCTGGTCTCCCTGCCCTCCTTCCCCTGAAATGCTTTTGAGAAAAGGGCAGATGTAAGCTCTGACAGGGAAGGGAATAGAGAGAAACACCCATGAAGCAAAAGGAAAAAGTGTGGCTAATTGTGTAATGTTAGGAAAAGAGTAAGGTAAGAGTAGGTAAGCTCATAAAGTGAGCTTTCCTTACTGACTGAGAGAAGTAGTTAAACTCTTTTTATATGTGTTTACTGTTATTAATTTAGAGGCAAGTATTTTCTCTCCTGCACCTCCCGAACAATTGCAAAAGAAAATCACATATTTGTTTTTTCCCCGGAGATGAAATTTTTATGGGCTGTTAAAGAATAATGTAGCTCTGTCTGTTAATATTGGACAAACAGATGGTGTCATCTGACAGACAGCTGACAGTGCCACCATGGTGGCAGCCAGCTCTACTTCTTCTAAAGCAAATTACTGAGGATAGCTATGTAATTAAGAGACACGTGGAGTTCATAATCTAAAAAACCTAATCCTTCTGAGCCAACTAATTATAAATGTTTTCACAAGCATTTTTATATAGTAACTGTTATTTACAAAGTCATATATATATATATATATATATATATATATATATATGTTTAACTCCAAACTCTTAGATTTGCTGAATATAATTTTTGATAGCCCCTGATATTTGTTTTGGTAAGATCTCTAAACTTTTCTGGTTAGATAACTGGGATGAAGAATACTAAATACAGTGACAACCAGCTTTTTCTGGCAAAAAAACTTGGTAAAGAAACTTTTTTTTTCTGACCATTATGAGTAATAGCCCATCCAAATTTACCCATCTGCGTGCATAAATGTTAGGAAGACATAAAGTATTTAAAATGAAATCAAGTCTTTTTTGAAGTTTAAGAAAGCTTCATCAAGAAGCCTTATTCCCTTCTAACTCCGTGTGTTCCCAATGTGGCTTTTCATGATCCATTACTTTAATTTCCCCTTGAAAGCACATAATGGCAGGTGGGAAAATACAGCAGTCTTATTGAGAAAAATTAGTACTATGAGCAGAAGTAATTTGTTTGAAACATCTCACTACTATACCAGTTTTTCTTGTACTGTGCTGTTTTTTTTTCTGTCGCTTTGTAAAATGTACTTTGGGACTCTAATTCTCTGCGTGAATTTCCCCAAAATAACTGTTATTGGTTACTGTTATTGTTAGTGTTTCAATTGTATTATACTCATTCTCAATGAGTGCTTCTGAACTTTAAGATATAGGGGTGCAATAACTTCAATATAGCTTTTTTTGTTGTTGTTGCTGTTAAAAAATTACTATGAATTCCACAGAGACATTGTGTCCAGAAAACACTAATAACCATGTTTTCTTGGTTTACAGTTTAACATTCCTTTTCCCCTTCTCTGACACATATACAAAGAAGTTCATTATGTGGAATCCCCTGCAGCTAGCAAGTATTCTACAGTGAAGAAAAACAAGCTTTGTTAAGGAGATTATAGCTCTGGTGTTTTAACAATCTGAAATGTTCGATGAGAATAAATCTTAATCGGGCTAAACTTTGAAGGCTTTCGTTGCTCCCTGAAAACAGAAGCACATGGAATATACAGGTCCTGAAAGAAGAAAATCTGAAAAGTTAACAAAAATGCGACTTCTGGACTTCCCAGATGAAATTTTGCTACAAATTTCTATGGGAGCAATTTTCTATAGGAGTAATTTCTAGCTCTAAACAAGCACTAAGAAAACTCGAATTTGGGCAAGGCCTTTCATTTCTAGTAACCGAATTTCTGACTACTGCAAGTGCTCCTTCTTCATCCCTGTGGCTCCACTGAGTTCTCATATCGAGACTGCTCACACACATGGGTGTTAAGCAGGAAAGTGTATGCTCTGCATGAAGGGAGCCAAAAGCAGTGAACCCCTGAACACGGGCTGGTCTGCCTATGTGCTCACCAGAGACAGTGGGAACCCCTGAGGGGCCAGGCAGGGGCAGGGGAAAGCAGAGCAAAGAATATCAGAGAGTATTTCTGGCCCTCTTCACCTCCAGGAGCAGTGTGGAAGTGATAGAGAAGGAATGAAAGCCAACCTCTAGGAGTTTAAGGGAAGGAGCTGTGGTGAAGCTGGCCCTGCTGGATGTCTGTCTGTCTGTCTGACCGTTGTGCTCAGGTTCTCAGGATTTCTTTGCGCTGCTGGGCCTGGGGGCATTTCCCGGGTCTGGGTGTGTTGCCAGGCCACACTCTGAGCACAGCTTATGACAAGGAACTTTCTTCTATGCAGAAAATACACACGTGAGTTTGAGCTAGGAAAAAAAATAGGAAAGACAGAACTATCAAAAATGCTAAGTAGTGAAATGGTTAAAGAAGCCTTTATCTATCTATCTATCTATCTATCTATCTATCTATCTATCTAATTTATTACCAAAGAATAAAGATATATTTGAAGATATTACCTTGAAAATGATTTTTGACCAATCATGATTTTTACAGCAAGGTCCTACCCCTCTTTGTGAACATAGATACTGATTTCAGTGACTGTTCAGGAAACAAAGCTCCAAGTAAGCAAAATCCAAGAGTTTACTTTGACAAACATGATATGAATGTTTTAATAAATACCCATGGCAAAATATAAACTGCAATATCCTCATCTTGAAGATGAGCTCCTGCTTCTCCTGTCTGCTTAAAGCATATTTGCACGGTTTCCATTACTTCCTTGATTTTCTAACATCAAAGTGTAGGCGAAAGCCTGTGTGAATGGTTTGTTGTCAGTTCTGAGTTTTCCTCTAGGTACTCCACTTCTTTCCACACAGTATGATGCCAATTACAGCAAAGTTTAATTTCTAGTCATTACGTTACATCATTAATTTCTAAATGATCCTAGAGACTTCTGATTACCCCATTATGTTCTGCAAGGGATATCTCAGTTTGAGCAGGGATGCTGGTGATTCTGGGAAGCAAAACAACAACCCAGTTGCCAAGCCAAATCTCTTTCCTCCCCTTGCAGTTCACTGCAGTGTCTTGTGTGGTCACCACACAGTTCTCAGCCATTTCATTACATGTGCAAAGCTTCCTGAGGAGACAAAATTGTGAGCTTACAGTTTACATCTATTGATCCCAGTGACATTTTCTACTTAACAGGGTTTATTCCACTATTTTTTTTTTTTTTTCCCCAGGTAGATTAAGAACTAGGATTATGCATATGCTTGTTGCTGTCTTCAACTGGTAAGACAATCATAGGTTTATCTACGTGCACTTTACATTCACTCAGCCAAGTCTTGCAGTCTTCACATGTACGAGGTTAGGGTGAGTTTGTCAGCTGTATTTGTCTGGGCCGTGTGTAAGAAGATTTTTCAGAGAACTCAATCTGTTGGTTATGTGACCGGATCCTCCAGGGCAGAGAGGAGTTGTTGAATGTCCGTTTGATGAGAACAGCAAAGCTCTGCTCTCCAGTGTCTCATTATGTTCTTCAGTCTGTGTCAGAACAGACAAATGCAATTCCAATTTTTATCTGGTCTGGTGAATGTAGGTTTTAAGAAATTCCCAACAAAGCAATGTAGCGACATAGTTTATATTGCAAAAAAAAATATTTTGTGTTTAGAAAGACATCTCCTTAAGTAATTGTGGTCTTGCTATTTTCGAGGCAGAAGTGAAATCATGTTAGGATTACTTGAGAATGTAAAAGGTATACATAACCATGTGGCTTAATTTTTGGCAATGTATCATCCTTTGTAGCTGCTAATGTTCGTGTTAATTTGGGGAAAGATAATTCTGTCTGTAATGGGAAAAGATAATACTTGCTGCCACATAATTCTCTAATTCGTTTCAAAGATACGTTGTAGATAAATTGCAATCAAACCCTGAAGAGTGTATAGCAAAAGTTTAAAAACACTTTTCGTCATCTGCCAAAAAAGCTTCAGAATTACAGGAGATGTTTCATTTTGTCAGCCTTGATTACATGACATGTCTCTTCAGGACGGTTATTTCTGTAACCTGCAATTGAAGTGATTTCAAAACGTTTTCCAGCTATTAGAAGTTATTTTGTACATTAGGTCAGGATTTCTCAGTCTCAAATTCTGTAAGGGCAATCACGTTAGGAAGGATGGAGAGAGACATTCAGAACTGAAGAGTACCTCTTTCTCCTGTGATTCGGTTACAAAATTATAGTAATACCTTGAACGTGCTGGGGTTTGTACTGGAGAAAAGATGAAGGAATTTGTGACAACTTGTCATTAGATTCATTTGCTATAGGTGGGTCTAAAGCACAGGGCTGCAAAGTTGCGCCAGGGGAGGTTTAGGTTGGATGTTAGGAAGAACTTCTTTATGGAAGGGGCTGTGAGGCATTGGGACGGGCTGCCCGGGGAAGTGGTGGAGTCACCATCCCTGGAGGTCTTTAGAAGACATTTAGATGTAGAGCTTAGGGATATGGTTTAGGGGGGACTGTTAGCGTTAGGTCAGAGGTTGGGCTGGGTGGACCCAGGGCTGGGGACACACAGCGGGGCTGAGCGCTGCGAGGGGCTCCCCGCCTCAGCGCCGCGGCCGTTGGGGAAGGCGGGGGGGCTCCAACCGCCGCCTGGCGCGCCTGCGCGGGGCCGGGGGGCGGGCCTGCTGCGCTCGCCCCTCCCGCCGTGCCGAGCCGAGCCGGGCCGGGCCGGGCCGGGCCGTGCTGGGCCGGGCAGGGCAGGGCGCTGGGGCCGGGCAGGGCCGTGCTCTGGGGCCGGGCGTGAGCTGCCCCCGGGCATGAGCGCGGGTGGCCGCGGCGCCGCAGCGCGCTAGGGGCGGCGGTGGCGGTGTGCAGGGAGGGAGGGAGGGAGGGAGGCGCCATGCGGCTGTGCGGGGCGCTGCTGAAGAGCCCGATCCCCAAGCAGATCGAGTACTACTCGCGCTTCTCGCCCTCGCCGCTCTCCATCAAGCAGTTCCTCGACTTCGGTGAGTGGCGGCGGGGAGCGGGGAGCGGGGGGGGGTCCGAGGGGCTGCCCCCAGGCCGCAGGAGGGGCGGGAGCCGTTTGTGCCCCCCCCCCCCCCCTCGGTGATCCCCGCCTGCTGCCGGGGATCTGTGCGCTGCAGGCGGCTTTCCCGGTGAATGCACAGGGCTGGCTCCTCGGGGGCACGGCACCCGGGCTGGGAGCGGCTGCGGTGGCGGTGGGGGAGCGGGCGAGGCGCTGGGGATGGCAGTGTTTGGCCGATCTGGGTCAGAGGTTGCTGGGCTGCCGCCATCGGGCCGCCTACACGCTGTAACCCCAGCAGCCGGGCCCGTGGAGCAGCCATAAAGGTGACGGGGAAGGCAGAAGGCAGGCCGTGGTGGTAAGGCAGGAGGCGATTAGGAGTGGCAGCGGCCGCACGAAGAAGGCTGCGAGTTGAAGGAGCCAGCGCCGGGAGTGTGCCTGCCACGGTGCCTCCGTGACGCAGGGGTTTTAATCGCTAAAACAAAACAAAAAGCAACAGCACGCCTCGTCCTGGGTTACGGCAAAAAGGGAACGCGACTAGCACCCTAGCACCCGTGCTTCCCTCTCTCGTTGCTGTTCACGAGTCTGTCTTGGCCTTCCCCACGCATTCCTTCACTGCTGTGCTCTCCCAGCCCAATGTTTTTGCTGCTCATGCCGTGCCTCTCTGCAGCAGCTTAAAACCAGAGTGTCTCTATTTTTGTCCTGGCACTCAATAATTCATTTCGCCATTGTCTAATTGAACGTTCAGCTTGCGAGTTGTTGCTGGGAAAGCGTGGATGTTTGTGAGGCTCTTGAGTTGTGACTAGAGGGGTTTAAAGACTTCAGTTTTTACTTTAATGTCTCTGGTGTTCTGGGAAAACATAACATTGTGGTGAAGATTTCCACCATCCCACGTTGTCCCTGCGGTACTACTTGCTGTTGGGTATCTCTGCTGTGCCAACCTTTTAATAATGCTAGTTTTTTTTAACCTCATAGTACTTGTATTACTTCATGGTTTAAAAAATATCTCCGTCTTCTCCAGGAGGAAGTAGCCCTATTTCTTCATTTTAAGCCTGATTTCAGTTAGCTGAAATGACCAGAGTAAGGCCAGGATGTTACAGCCTGGCCAGCGCTGTTCTCTGGGTCTGCTCCCAGCTGCTGTCACTGGATGTGGCTGTGAACTCTGGTGTGTGCTGATGGTAAATAGGTGAGTGCAGTCATGCTTGAAGACTGACAGAAAACTGCGTAATCTTTATCATTTAAAACCTTGGCAGAAAAGAAAGAAATACCTGCAGTTTAGGCTCCTGAGATCACCATGGGATGTGTTCAGGAGTTTACAAGATTAGTAGTTTATGCTGCGTCTTGCTGAAACTGTCAGCTTGATCTTAGTAAGCCACGTGGGCTGCTTACATCTCCGCTGACTTTCTCTTTAGTGTGCGTGTTTACTGAGGAAACCTGAGTAGGAAGATTACAGTGGCTTAATCAAATAGGTTTAAAACCACGCAGTTACTTAACTTGTGCAGCTCTCAGTGTTGAGGGTTTTGGGTGTTTTCAAGTTTGACTGGAGACTTCAGAGGCCTTGGGGGGAAATTGGCAACAAAATGCCAACGTGGTGGATGTTGGGGCAAGAGCTCTGGTGCTGTAGGCATGGAAAGCTTGGACAAGACTCAGTGTGTCAGGTGACTACATTACTTCTGCCTGAGCTACCCGAAAAAGAATTTACTGATGGATGGCACAGGGGACGAGCTCTCAAGAGAGCAAATAGGCCAGGCTCGCGGAGTGTGACACTAAGGGTGCAGTTGAGCTATGTTTACCTGGCCTGACTGCTCGATGGGAAGAAGAAATTCTGGTGTTAGGCAGCTGCTATAAACTGACTACATCGTGCATTTAAAAACTGCACTCACTGCAACTTAAACTTAACTGCATTTAAAAGCTTAACTCAGTGCAACTACTACAAAAAACAGTTTAGCTACTTAAACTAACTCATTAACATGAAAAAAACCACCAGTGAAACAAAACAGAAAGGCAATACTTCAAGCAGTAACTTTCTGTTTTTTTGTTTTTTTTTGTTTTTTCTAGCTGAGTCCTATTTGTGTCCCCATACCATGTTCTGCCCTATGTGATTTACTTTCTGTCAAGTGTGTGACCGTCCTTGTAGCTGCCACAGCTTTGTAAGAGGTGACAGTGTCATGGGCTTGGGACCTCTGCGTCACAAACAGCGCACAGATTGTCTGTGCTGCTTTTTCCTTTTGTCCTTTTGTGTTCGTTTTCTGTTTGCACGCTCTTCTCGAAACTGCTCAGTTAATTTCTTTCCTACTAGTTGCACTTCCCAAAGTTCCTGTGCAATCTTGTTGAATGACTTCCCATGAATGTGTTTTACTAAAATAAAGCTTTGACCTTTTTAATGTTAGTATGTTATTCTAGGTTTATACAGGCTTCTATAATTATTCTGGTCTAACCCCCTCCTCTCTCCCCAACAGCCCCCCAAAACCTGGACTCACACGTGTACTTCTAAACTTGGTAGTTACCCTGGAAGTTATTTTGGTAGGCTTCCAAGTGCAGGCATTCCTAAATGCCACAGTTGTAATTGCTAAAATAGCTTTTCTGAAACAAGCTTCTAAATAGAGACATTCAGGTGCGGGAGGCTTTGTGCGCTTTTGGGGTTGGACTGTTTTGGAGGGTGGGGGATACCAGTACTGGAGATCTGTATTTTGTGTCAGCTCTGATAGAATATCCTAATTTAAATTTGCTTCATCTGTGCAGAGCCAGCCTTACAGGAGTGCAGGTTAATTTGGAAGGGCCAGTAGCCTGCCATGGCAGCTACATACATGTACGTGGGTAACTGGGCAGTCGAGCACGTCTGGGGAAAGCAAATAACCAACTAGGAGTCTCTGCTGGAGAGAGTGAAGTTTCTGTGTCTAGCAGTGCCTGAGTGTCTGAAAAAGCACCCAGAGAGGCTTGTGCTCGCTCCTCCTGGCTTGCTAAGGGCTAGCTTGGAGCCAGGAACCTCACGGCCCAACTATCGCAGGGCTGTGCCCGAGCTAGCAAGTTCTGTGCCACTGCTGCATAGTTTGGGTCACGCTGTTGACAGTAAACAACTGGCTGCAGGGCTACTAATGAATGCTTCGTGAGCAGAGCACTTGTACTGGAAAGGTTATTTACAAAATAACTGAGCACAAATAAAGAGAAATGATGTGAATTACATGCAATCCTTCTATTATGCGTGAAAGAACCGCTTTGTTTTGCGATTGCTGTTTTGTGAATGTGCACAGGGAAGCTATGTTAAGGTAATAGTCTCGCTGCTGCTCAGCTGATGAAGTACCTTTTATCAGGTATTGTGTGCTTTTGGAGCTTGTTTAGTACTAAAGCTGTCCTGGCCAGTTGGAGCTGCAGACTTCTGTGCTCTCTGTCTCAAATGTTTCGGATGGATTTTGTAGCTGGGGTTAAACTTGTTTTTTGTTAGCTCCGTATGTATGTAGGTAAAGCCTAACAGAGTGGCACTTCTCCCCGGCTGTTTGTCATATGGTAGTGATTACAGACCGCATAGTGCTCGTGACTTTGGACAAAAACACCAAGCGTATACTTAAGGAAGAAGACAGCGAATCACGGGCTGAAGGAGCTCTTGTTGTGGAGCGTGGTTTAGGAGGTCCTGATTTCATTGGTTATAAACAAAGTGGCTGTGGCAGCTGCTGCAAAGCCTGGCACTGAGGAGTATCACCAAGGCAGTAATTTTGCAGTCATGCTGTACTGTGAACAACTGGGGCGTGCGGCAGATAATCACAGCGAGGACATGCCGTTTGGGTGCTGACGTGTTCTGGAGGAAAAGATGAGCAACGGATCCTCCTCGTGTTTAAATGCAATCTTTGGTATGAAGTTGGTTAGCTTGTGGTCCCCATCACACTTACCTGCCTTGAGGAAACGTCCAGGCCTGTTCCAAGCGCTGGCAGGAAGAGCAGGCCAGGTCCTGGCGCTGCTGTCGGGTGTTGTCACTTGGGTGTGCAGTGCTAGGTCAGATTCCTGCAGGAGTGTGTACACTTCACCTTGTCCTGTTGGCAGTGGGAAGGCATCAGCGCTGGGACTGAAAACATGATTAGAAACAAACAAAACAAAACAAAAAGACAAGGTAACGAGCAGACAAAATTTGAACGACAAGATTGTGGGGTTGGAAAGTAGAGATTGAAAGCAGCCTGATGTCTCTGAGCTTAATTATTGATCTTCTTTTAGAAGACGGCTATTATAAGACTCTTTAACACACAAAAGGCTTTTTAAATGCAACTTTAGTGGAGAGATTGGCTAAGACTTTCACAAAGTTTAGTGCTAAAAGGACTATAAAGTAATTACCTACTGCTTATTGCACGCAGCTGCATTTTTCTACTGCTATCTGTGTGCTCGAAGACCGTGTTTGATTTAGGTGTACCTTCCAAAAAAAGTCTTGACCTGACTGCTAGCCATTGGTATGCTAACCGCAGAATCAGATCAAAAAGATGAATGCTACTCAGACATTATTGCCTTTTTAAAAAATCTTACTGGCTTCACTCCCAACCAGCAATTTTGTTACAGCTTTCATTGGTAGGTAAAGATCCTTTTGATGCCCAGAGTTTTTTTCTCTGAGGTATTTATACATCGTGTCTCATTTTTGCAAAGCTAAATATATTCTTTACATGAGATCTTTCTGGCCTCACGAAAATACCATGGCATTAACTTTTCCAGGGTTTTCATTTTTACTCTTCAGATATGTCTGTCAGAGCTTTAAACAGAATCTTGCTATGAGTTTTGCCTCAGTTGGAATAGAATAACTTCCCTTTGGCTTTGTTTTTGTATGGACAGACTAGCCTTTTGATCCAGTGCAAGCTGGATGGACACGCTGAATTGTCTGTGTCCATTTGTACTTGAATTGTTTTGGGAGTGTTGCTTTTTGGTTTTGTGGGCACAGATGATGATTGCACCCCATTGTACAAAAAGGGGTCTTCTTTGAGAGGGCTATAACACAGCAAGTGGCTGGAA